AGTCTCTGCAGACTTCCTTACCCTCTAGTGGCTCATGAGGGACTTTCCCTTAGTCCTTTCTCAATGTTTTAGGAACTACAGCCTTAAGAAGTTTATGGAAAGGACCCCTGGGGCTAAGAGAGGTAGGGGAACTTCTTTGGAAAAGTGTAAGTAGTCAGGCTTTAAAAATGCAGCAGATTCAGAATGAGGTAGGAGGCAGGCTTGGAACAGGTGCCTTTTCATTCCCTGTGACCCCTCTGCTTATCCTTTCCAGCAATTCTGGACATGTACACACTGATGAGCAACAAGCAATACTATGATGCCCTCTGCAGCGGAGAAATCTGCAACACTGAAGGCATTAGCAGTGAGTGTTTTGGGGAATACGGTCCTCAGGGCTCTGGGCAGGTAGTCCTAGTGTCTGGGAGAAGGGAGAAAAGGGTGAAACTGATAATTCCAAGAAAGTACATGCTGCATGAGTGATAAGAAAACCAATGGGGTGCCAGGCATGGTGGCTTATGCCTGTCATGTCAGCATTTGGGGAGGCTGAGGTGGGCGGATCACTTGAGGTTAGGAGTTCAAAACCAGCCTGGCCAACATGGTGAAACCCTTTCTCTACTAAAATACAAAAATTAGCCAGGTGCACGCCTGTAATCCCAGATATTATACTTGGGAGGCTGAGGCACGAGAATTGGTTGAACCTGAGAGGTTGAAGCTGTTGTGAGCTGAGATTGTGCCACTGCAATCCAGCCTGGGTGGATGGAGCGAGACTCCATCTCAAAAGAAAGAAAAAAAGAAAAACCAATGGGGAGGAGATTGCGGGGAACATGTTGGGGTTCCCCTCCTGCTCTCACTCACTAGGTGTGGTACAGCCTGACAAGTATAAGCCAGTGCCGGATGAACCCCCAAATCCCACAAACATTGAGGACATGCTAAAGAGGGTCCGAAGCAATGACAAGGAGCTGGTGGAGGTGAACCTGAACAACATACAGGTATTTGACTCCCATCCTCCAAACCATAACGCCAGATACCTGCTGACACCCGAGAGCCCCTTCGCCCACCATCTCCTATTCCCCTCTGATAGGACATCCCGCTAGCCATGCTAAGTGAGCTGTGTGAGGCAATGAAGACAAATACCTATGTGCGGAGCTTCAGTCTGGTAGCCACGAGGAGTGGTGACCCCATTGCCAATGTAAGTCTAGTTGGCATCCCCAGCCCTCTCCCCACATCTCCCAGGCACCCCTTGCAGGGCTGTCATGAAGGGTTTTGCTAGGGAGTGCTATTCTCATCAGCCTTCTTAGGGCAGCCCTCATGGAGACTCCTACCCTCAGTGCCATGGCTCATAACTCTCAACCTCTCTAACAGCCCGTCTCTCTAACAGCACATTAATCTCCCTACTTTCCACGGCTATCCCCCTTGCTTTCTGTATCCCTCTAGCCCCATTTACAGCTCCTCAAGGACTCTTCTCAGAGTTTGTGTTTCCCTCTTGCTCCTGTTCTTTCTCTCCTCAGTCATCTGTGAAACTGTTCCCTAATCCTAACCCAAGTCCCTACTACCCAGGCAGTGGCTGACATGTTGCGTGAGAATCGTAGCCTCCAGAGCCTAAACATCGAATCCAACTTCATTAGCAGCACAGGACTCATGGCTGTGCTGAAGGCA